AATGCCGCATAGAGGGGGAGGATCACCTCCTTGGACCTGCTTGAGATGCATCTGTGGATGCATGACAAGGTACGGTTGGCCTTCCTGACCACGTCCCCATACTGTTGGCCCATGTTCATTTTGGCATCAATAATGACTCCAAGATCCTTTTCTGCCTCTGCACTGATGAGAAGGGAGCTCCCCAGCCTGTAGGTATGCTACAGGTTCTTCCTCCCCAAGTGCAGCACCTTGCACTTGTCAGTGTTGAAACCCATCCTGTTCTCATCCGCCCACCCTTGTAGCCTGTCTAGGTCCAATTGCAGCCTATTCCTCCCTTCTAGTGTACCCACTTCCCCCCACATCTTAGTGTCATCAGCAAATTTGAACAGGGTGCTTTTTACCCCCTCATCCAAGTCACTGATGAAGATGTTGAACAGTGCGGGTCCAAGGACTGAGCCCTGGGGGACCCCACTGCCCACATCCCTCCAGGTTGAAAATGACCCATCCACAACCACTCTCTGGGTGCGGCCCTCCAGCCAGTTAGCGACCCATCTGACTGTGTAGGTGTCGACACCACAGTCCCCTAATTTTTTAATGAGAATGGGGTGAGGGACAGTGTCGAAGGCCTTTCTGAAGTCCAGAAAGACTATATTCACTGCTACCCCTGCGTCTAAGGAGCTGGAGGTTATGGTGCCTCCTACCTGCCTTTCACCAGGGGATCACTGGTCCTGAAATTTACGGGGCTGCCGCACTGCCAGCAGTCCCACCAGGCCTCCCTACCCTGGCAGGGTGTAGTTTTAGTGGTCGTGCCCAGGACCTGGGGCCTCCTCCTTCCCCATAGCCCCAATCCCACACCTCCAAATTCATCCTGGCAGGGGAATAAGCTCAGCAGGGACATGTTCTTCCCGTGCTGGCTGGTGATGCAGTTAGTGCCCCCTCCAGCTGAGTGTGGGGCATTATTTGGCTTTTAAAAAATTCAAAAAAGGAAATTGGTGCAGACGGAGTGAGAAGGGTGGTGCTCAGGTTGTCTGCAGGTGGAGCTTGGGGAGCCCTAGCAGCAGGAGATTCACCTTTAGGAACACCAGCTGCTCCACCAAAGTAGGATCCAGGCAGGTGTGGTGGGGTGTCGCAATATCCCCAGCAATGCTGAACACCCTCTCACTTGGAACACTGGTTGGTGGACAGGACAGGTGTTGTCAGGCAACCATGGCCAGATCCTGCCACATCTGTCTGTGGCTTTCTCCGTAGGACAAGGGGGCGCAGTCCAGGGGCTCC